CCCTGGTACAGAAAGAAGCGAGTTTACATATTGAAATCAGTTATGTTTGATATTGAGTTTACATACATGTATGGTCAGTGGTTTAAAGTGTGTGCTTTAGATCAGAAGGTCTGTCATTAGTAACGTGGCATGGTTGCGATCCTATGAGTGTAAGGGTCACCTGCCTAGTTTTGGTGTTTTCTCATGTTTCCTCCCATTGTTAAAGACCAAGTGGGTTATTGAAATTTGAAATGACGTGGTTTGTGTCTAGTGGACATTAAATCCCAATTTTCTATTATACAACTGGAGGTGAGACCAGATATATGCCTTTGTTCTGCAATCTCTTTCAGGAACAGCATTTTCTAAATAAAAATATATTCTGAAACCTGACAATGAATGGAAGTTAAAGCCATTAAATCTAGAATATTATCTTGTCTCTTTAACCTAAATAAATGTTCCTTTTTTTTTTAGAAGTAAAATATTCAAATGAGGAGAAAGACATAACTGGGTCTGTTTGCATTATAAAACCTAGATTGTAATCCGATTCATGTAAATAATGATATAACTAGGTGGGGCTACTTAAAATCATATGATAATGGACACATGCATGTGCATAATTAAATTATCTAAATTACATCTACTGAATCTAATATTACAGATAGATATATGTACCTAGTATATGAAAATAGATGGGACTCCACCTACTCATTCAGTTTAAAGAGACACGAAAATCTAATTAAAGGAAAAATTCCAGTTATTTTTGAGGTGAAAAAATTGGTTACTTATTGGTTAGAATCCTTTATTCTTGTCCCAAGCAACTATCTGAACCTCTGTAATATACTTTGAAAGAAATACAAGTTGTCCATTGGAGATTTGTGAGACAAGTTTCTTGTCTAGCGATCATCTAAAACTCAGGCATGCTTTCTTTTTTTCCCCCCAATCAGTAATAGAATTTGTAGACTTTGTAGGCTTTTAGAAACTGTCTAGCAAATTTTACAGATAGTAATGAATAGTAAAATTTATGAGTCTACTTATATTTTGAACTGTTTTGGTCATTACTTCTAAATCCCTCACTATTTTAAGCTGAAACTTTGTGAGACAATGTAAATATACAATTTCTTCACATTTAGGCATTGGATTTGTATACCTAAGAACTTTTCTTCACAGAGACACAGAAAATTGTGATTTCTCCTTTGAGAACATTATAATAACATATGGAATGTTCTGTATATTAACGATACAACATGTAGCTCATGGCTTGAACTAGCGGGCGATGTGGGCGAAATAGTCGCCTAACCCATAGATGACTTCGCCCTAAAAAGTAATAGGGCAAAAATTGTTTTTCTGGATTATTTAGAAGGATGAACACTGTAAATACTGTGTGTACTAATACTATGGTTCATTGATTGATGTTAAGATATTTTGCAAATACTAAAAAATAACTGATTAGAAGAAACAATTTCATATACTTCAATTTGTTTCCCTTTTCTATAATCGTATTAGATACTGTGATTGTGAGCCATCATTCTGAAAATGTGCTAGACATATAATTATTTTAAGACTATTTACAATGTCAGGTAATGAAAGGAATTTCAGTGAAATGTAACTGGGAATGTAATTTCTTCTGTGGAAATTAATTGTCTGGTCACTTCATTGTTAAATGTCTGTATTCTAATACCCAGACTGACAGACGCACACACATAAATAAGCACTACAAAAAAAGTTTCTTTGACCCGAAGATGAGAAAGCTTTCTCACTTTTCGGATTCTACTGTTAGTAGAGAAATCAATATGGGCAGACGGTATGATAATGTAAGGTGATGTAGTAGGTTCTAATCATAAATCTATTATTCTACTTTGTTTCAATCAATTCAAGAGAGCAGTCTTACATGATCAACGTGTTTGTGTGTCTGATCACTGGCCAAAATTAATAAATTTCTATACATAATTTCTATGAATAATAACATTTATCCTTGTACCCCTTTCCAAAGTTTATCTTTTAATTGTACAGTATAAAATCCATAAACCTTGTAAGTTTTTTGGCTTTTACGAATTTTATCTGCATGGACACTTGGGCACATTCAGATGGGTTGCTGACTGTGTGGACTGGTCAAGTGTAGGTTATTCAGTAATGTAAAATTGATTTGCTTTCAAAAATGATCTGAAGTTTGAAAGATTTTGTGGGTTTGGGATTTCGGGCATTATGATGCAGATAACAGGCCTGTCATCTGTGCAGGCCATGAGTTTCATCTGTTTTATCTTTTCTTTCCTACACTACTAAATGCCCTTCATATAATATGAATTAATAAAACAAAAGTGACCGGAATATCAGACGTTGGTTCTAAATGGTAAATCATATTTATTTTTCATCATACAATACATGTCTGCCCTGTTGAATTTAAAATGAAAAATAAAACAACGCAAAATATTCAATAGATATACATGTACAATTGATTTTCTAGAATATATATGTCAATTGCCCATTGCCATCTCTTTGCTCCATCACAAGGACTTAAAATGTGACATATCTTATGAAACTTATAGGCATACTCCTCCTCTTTTTTGGTCATCAATAATTACATGTTATAAATATGGTTTTTAATGACCTAAAAGGAGGAGGGGCATGATAAGTTACATAACTTCACTTCAAATTGAAAAGGTTATTATAAATTTTTAGTATAGTTCAAAGTTGTTCATTGGATTGGAGTGAACTACTAGTAGAGCTGCAACAATACACTAACCTCACGATACGTATCGGGGTATATATTTTCTAGAATATATACGTCAATTGCCCATTGCCATCTCTTTGCTCCATCACAAGGACTTAAAATGTGACATATCTTATGGAACTTATAGGCATACTCCTCCTCTTTTTTGGTCATCAATAATTACATGTTATAAATATGGTTTTTAATGACCTAAAAGGAGGAGGGGCATGATAAGTTACATAACTTCACTTCAAATTGAAAAGGTTATTATAAATTGTTAGTATAGTTCCAAGTTGTTCATTGGATTGGAGTGAACTACTAGTAGAGCTGCAACAATACACTAACCTCACGATACGTATAGGGGTATGGACCTCACAATACGATATGTATCACAGTATTTTTTCTTCCCAAATTTGCTTAAAAAATAAAAACAAGTACATGATATTTAATCTGGCACTTCAATCCAAAATGTTCCCATATCTGTGATTTGTGGTTCGCTGGCGGTGAATGTTTCATTGCTGGAAGCCATTTTTCCTCCTTGTCACTTGAACAACAGGGGGACATAACTCTGCTTGATAGTTGAGTATCGTAAGAAAATGGATGGTTAAAGAAATCTGTATCATGAATTGAACTGTGGCATGTATACCCCTGTATACCATCTCACAGTATATCACAGTCGGTTTGGATAAGGATCTGAAATGAACACTGCAAATATGTATAATTATATATTACATGTACCTTGTTGAAACAAATGCCTGAGTTGTCCTTCAAACACTATAAAAATTAATATACATGTATTAAAATATGTGTAATGGTATTTCGATATGCTAGTCAAAGCCAACCAGTAAAAACTTATATTGAAAAGAAATTACTGGAAGGAAAAAAGAGTTAAGTTACCTTAACCCCTGTTATGCTCCACTGCCCTTAATCTACAAGTAATTAAAAATAGAGGCTATATTTGTCTTTTCTTGTGAACACCTGACAGACTAGATTAATCATTCAATCTTTTTAAGCTTTATGTATGTTAACATTGGTGAGACCAAAGAAGTATATTGAATTTCAGCCCATGATCACTTTGTGAATCCTGTGAACATTGGTGGTTGGGATGCTAGACAAATGTCCCAGGTGTGGGTGTTGACAGAAGCCCACTTGGATTTTCCATGTCTGGCTTTAATTTAGAAGGGTGGTACTTTCAGGGCTGACAAGAACAGTGTGTCCGATCAAAAACAGTGGTCCTGTGTACAAAGTGGTGTCAATGGCAAAACAAAATCCCATGCCACAATTATTCACCGAGTAAGGCGCTGGTTCACCAACCAGGAGGTCCTGGCTTCAATCCCAGTGCTGGCCAAGAACGTTGTTGTTAACGTAAAATAATTCTTGACAGTTGTAATTAGAAATAAAGAGTAGGCCGTTGCGCTGCTGTCTGGGCAAAATTTCTCTCACACTACATGGCATTTTCCACCTCTACATTAGCTTGGTACAGAAAAGTGGGATGTAAAACTCATTTTAGATTATGTCAGTTTCATCCATTAAATTATGATTTGTGACTTAAGGTCGGCTAATCCCCAGTTGAAGATCATAATAGGTTATGTTGATCATATGCAGAACTTGGGGCATGTGGTATTGTATGTGGTCAAATTTATGCAAGTTAGTCCAATACATGTATGTTGTAGTGAAACCTAGTGCGATACAGTTATTGACAATGTACATAAAGTAAGCAACAGTTATCACAGGTCTTCTGAAAAATCTTCCCCACCTTTTAAACACAGCCATACAAAAAGTGTCATAGTCTCAAAATGTAGTGTTGAAGAAATCATAGTGGTTTAAGCCTATTCATTTTGTAATAAAGTTTGTGTATTCTGATTGTATGTATATGTATGTAGCCTTCTCTACTATAACACACACACACACACACTCGGCCTACTCATTCACCAGGTCACGTTGTTCTCTCAACACTAGTCTAGACCGTGTGTGTATGTAATGTAATGATTTTTGCCTGGTGCAGTTACTTGACCAACCGTTTACATTGAGTAAGGTAGGCGTTGTATTAGATCCAGTGTATTTCCAGCTAGCTCTGTTCTCTCCACTCTTCTTTCACCAGATTACCAATGTATTATCAAGAAAATAGTCTAGTTTTCAACACATGAGTACTGTTTTCAACACCCTCAGACGAATATTTTAGTTGTTGCAGTTGTAGGCCAACAGATCCAGTGAAATAGACTTAAAAGATTTGTGAGTTGAAGTTAACTTGTGTGTTTTACCGTGAACTTGGTTTGTTTGGTATTTTACGGAGTGCGAAAATACTATACACTGAATACAGTCCAACTCAGGCCACTTGAAACTCTAATTTATCGTTATTACGCATTTATCAAATCCACTGATACATGTAAGTAATAACAACTGCAGATGCATGGGGGCATAATTAATATAGATGCATATAATAACAATGATAGAAGTTTACGACTAGTTAGAAATAAGACATACTCCTGCTCCGAACTTCCGAAATATTTGGATTTTCTTGCAATTTCTGTTAGATGGCTGGATGTAACATGTGTGAAAGCAATATATAAATCTGGTCATTGTGACTTGAAAGTGTAGTGTAACTATGATGATATAAAATTGTTTTAAAAGTAATTGTTTAGATTAACACCATACAGATGTAGTTCAATTCTATAACACAATACACTAAGGTTAGATTTCTCATACCAAACTTTGGATTCAATTCAGTTTTGCTACACATAGACAGTCAGACAGACAGACAGTCCTCGATGAATGAAATGTGAACTTTCCATAAACTGTATTATTAAAAAAGCTGGCTATTGACGAGTGAAGTTAAATTTGAAGAATATCTTTGTGAATCCACCTCAGTTTTAAAGTAATATTTTAGTTTCTAGATCCTTTATTCATTCTGTCAACAGAAGAAAAGTTTTGGTACAAATCTTGCTTATTAGGAAAAGTCTGATTCATCATTGCCATCATCTATTGTCTTTATTATTGAATTGTTATAGAGGAGCCAACAAGTTTTTGTACTTTTACACTGAATTTATGTAATCAGATTGATGTGTCCATGTTATTCACATTGGTCACCCTAACCTAATGGTGAAGAAAATTCAAAGAAAATAAAAATTGTGCGTGTCAAAATCACAAAAACAACTGCGTCTTTTCGTGGTAGATGGTTTTAAATTATTGCAAGCAAAATAATTATAGAAGTTTTTTTCCCCGTCTGAGTTGTCTCCGGGAGAAGAAAAGATGTCTTCAACTTTCATGTGTATTATAAATGTCTGAAGAATGATGGCCAGCAGCGAGAGATAATAGCCACCAGTAAGAAAAGTGAATGTGTCTGAGTGTTTAGGAGATTTAAAGAGAAAACTATATTATTGTGTATCTGTAGCTGTAATAAATTTCACCCTGTTACGAGACATGATAGTAGAGAAAAGGAATGAAATTAATTCAACTTCTGGTGACAACTTTTAATTGTTGTTTTGTTTTAACTTTAACATCTATGATACTACCTTTAAAAGGTAAGTTATTCAATCATTGTTGTTGCAATATTTTTTATTCTATGGCTGTAGGGGTTGTTGTTGAATACAGGTTTAAAGGTCAAATTTTTGCAGCAGGGTCAAGGTCACCCATTGCAAAAATTTAAACCTGTTGGGGATTGTCCCTTGTGTTTATTATGGTTGGTTTGATTAAGACAAAGGAGACAGGATTAAAATACAAGTAAATTTTTTTAGGTGTTGGCTGTCGACGGGTATGCATGTCTTATTTCTAATAATTTTGTAGCTGGTACATGTAGTGTGTCAATATTCATTCAAGATGTATTTCCCATTCGGAAACAGTTGGATTTGTCTTGTTCTATTTAGGACAACATCTATTGAACAATCAGAGAACCGAAAATACAACATTGGATACTTTTCTGTTGGTGCAAGTCCTGACAAGACTCGCAACCACTACTGTAATCACTGGGGCGCAAGAAAAACATGTATGCCAGGTGATTAAATATACATGTACTAAAAGGAGTGAAAGAGCAGGGTAGATCAAAAACACATATTTTCATTGACAGTGCAACGGTATCCTGCTTCTTTGTTGAACGTTTTGTGTGTGAGAGAATGGCTATTGATCTGGAACTATCTGTATACAATTATATTTACATTACCGGTAATTGCATAAACCTTCAATCTGTAAAATCACAACACAATTTTAGTTTTAGATTTCATTATCTTTAACATTTTTCTATTACCAAGTAGTTATTCTTTTGCATTCGATGGCAGTCGGTCCCCATATGCATTAACATTCTTACTTTGATAAAAAAATAATATTCCTGTATTCAACTGTTGAGTAGAATTTTTATTCAACCCTACATAGTTGACCCCTCCCCTCTCAATTCCCTGTAAAGTTGAGACTTTTTGTCTTCACAGACTTAATGTGAAATGCTGTCTGTGGATTTAATGCAACATATAATATATCAAATTTCATTGAAAGCACTTCGTAATTGTTAATTAACTTGCAGCATCTTTAAAAGGAAAGTCTGGTGACGTGATCATTAAGATTTTCTGGGTCATGTGGATGTTAAATTGCAAAAGTTTAATTTGAGCACCAAAAAAACCCAACAAAATCCCCTTCATACAAATAAACCTTGTCCTTTATATGACATGAAGTCCTGGAATTCACCCAAAAATATTAATATGAAGAATGGTGATATCGGAATCTAAACAAACTGTTTGCATAAGTTCATTGAACCTAGTGAGTTTTTGTGTGCACATTTTGTAATTGTTTATGGGTTTACAGTTTAAAATAAACCAGAAAGGAAATTATATAAACATTTTTTTTAGAGGGGAAGGGAAAAGAAAAGTAATGTCTGCTTTAGCATTATAATAACATTTATTTTTGTAAAAGAAAAGTTGTATTGGGATGATTTACTGATTAGGCCATCTTATTTGTCTCTATTGGTTTGGGTGGTGAAGATTAAAGGGTTTCTTTTGTTGCTATTGGTTTGGGAGGTGCAGATTAAAGGGTTTCATTTGTTGCTATTGGTTTGGGTGGTGAAGATTGAAGGGTTTCATTTGTTGCTATTGGTTTGGGAGGTGCAGATTACGCTGTTTCATTTGTCTCTATTGGTTTGGGTGATGCAGATTAGGCTGTTTCATTTGTCCCTGTGGGTTTGGGTGGTGCTGATTAGGCTGTTTCATTTGTCTCTGTGAGTTTGGGTGGCGCTTATCAACTTGCATGGCATAGATTGTTAGGTACATTCAAATTATTCATCCTTAGCTATCCACATGAAATTATTAGCTCTGCTTGCAAAATGATATACATGTAAGATCCACTCCAAAAATTTGGCTTGAATTCTAATTTTTGAAAATGGCCCTAAAGCTATAAGTTATGACATTTTAATTTGACAAATTCTACTTTGTTCACAAAGGTTAAATAAACTTTTAGATATACTCAATGAAACCGCACTACTGATTTGGCTGGAGGTGCTGGCGCGACATTATGCCGGTGAATTGGGAATTTTAGCATGATTGTAGGATGAAGATTTACAGACATATCAACAACAGCACACGATTGCCATATAACAACTTTACTTTGCAGTGAGAAAAATCATAATTCAGTAATAGCGTTGAGTCAGAATTGGGCCAATGTAAGTGTGTCTCAGCTGTCTGGCACGCACAATGTACGGCTGTCTGGCACGCACAATGTAAGGCTGTCTGGCACGCAGTCTGGCAGAGCTTAGTCAGCAACAAATGCGATCCTTCAGACATTGCCAGGTAATAATATGTTGGTGTTGTCCAGGCCTTTTCCGATCTCTAATACACCAAGTCTTTTGGAAATGATCAGCCTGTCTCAGGTTAGTAGTGGAATGACATCCAAACCTTCAATGGATGGCTCAGATACCCATCGTAGTGACTTCTCATGCGCTCAGAACGCCTTCTGTAGTGGCTTAATTCATGTTTTGACTCTTGGTCACTGAGATCTATATAATTTCAATATTCCACAGTATGTCGCGTCATTAGGAATTATTTACTCTCATCATAAGTGGCCGACATGGCACTAACATTTTTCGTGAAAAACAAAACGTGTGTGTTGAATGACTTTTCTGTTTAATTACAGTTACCGAGCTAGGCCCAATCACGCGTTGCAAAGAATACTGTGATAAGGATTATCTTTTATGGATTTGTACTCACAAATGACAACCTATAATTGCGCGATTATTGATATTTTAAATCCGTATCGATTATCGATCTTCAAAACGCTATACTGACGATTATCGGCAATATCAATATTTTTTGCCAGCCCTAGTGCATTTACATGATGACAAAAACATCATTTTATCATGTTATCATTGTGATTGATGTTGTTACAAAGAGGAATTGCAAGATTAAAGTCTATCTTTACAATCATCCATACACTAGAGTTGCAACAGCTTTGTTTTTTTTCGTTTGTGCTAAGTAACCCTGTTAAATAAAAATTTCGCTACTTTAAATTTATCTGTAAATACATATAAGTATAGCAAAGCAAAACTACCAATAAGATGATTAGAAATGTGATATTTTTGTGAAATTGATATTGAAATAAAATGTGATGTTTTTTCCCGATTGCAAATGTACATTATTTCTTACTTAAACTCTTAAAGAAGCATTATGTACGATTTAGACAAAGAGCTGGCCTCTTTGGTATAATAGTTCAAAAATAGATAATGCTAAATGAATATATTGAAAATTTCATTAAAATTACTTTATTCTGGACCAAAATATTAGCCCTTGAAGGTTTGACAAGATGTATGCACTGATTTTAACCACTGTACTGATTGTTCGAGCCTTAGCCTCGCTTCACAATTTTTAAAAATCATTAAATGGCCGAACTGTTCTAATCTACTTAAAATTGGACCCTTCCGATGACATGGAGAGTTGATTATGGTCTTGTCATGTTAATAAATGTCTAATTAATAGTTTATATAACATTGAAGGTCTAAAGAAAGGCTGGCAATGGGCATATTTAGCTATTGAACAATGCCTGTTTAATCTTGTGTATCACAATATTCACAATGGATTTCTTGAACCCAGATGTCTGACTATATCTTCTCAAACAATATCTTATAACATGACAGAATTAATTTGATACTCTTTAAGACAAAGGTTCAGTCTGATTAAACCGCAGATAATGTTTCGTTGCTGGGTTTTGTTTATTTTGATCATTTAGATTTTTTTAAAATCCTTGACATTAACCATTGTGACGTTTGAATATTAGAAAACAAAACAAATTCTTAGATGCAGTTCAGGTGGCTAAGTTAAAAACTCTGGACTATAATCAAAACCAGCTTAACTGTTTTGACAGCCACAGACGTTAACAGTACATTACGTAAATGAAACTGCAAATTTCCAAACAAAAATAATGAAATGTGTAAGCCTGTACCTAGTTTAGGAAAAAAAGCCAGCAAACAGAGGTTCTTAAACTGGTAGCCCGTTCAGACGCTTAAAGTAGAACTTGTTTAAAAAAAAAAACGGGGATTGTTAAACCAGTTTAACTTTGTTATCTGAACGCAAATGTGGGGCAAATAAACCAGTTTAAAAAACCCAGCTCGCAACCTGTCTTCGAGAAGGCTTTTTATTTTAAACTGGTTCATCTTGGCCGTCTGAACGTGTTGGCTTAAAAAAATAAAAACGGCTCCAGCTTGCTTTGAGCATGTGCAGTACGCAGTAAATTACATTCCTAGGAAAATGTAGGGGTCAGGCAGTGCCAGTGTTATTGAAAGCTTTGGAGAACCGAATAAAGAATGTGAAGTTACCCATGGAGGTCAGAATAGTTAAACTGATTGCAACACTATCCTGTCTTAAAAACCCTTGCTATTTTGAACTGGTTTAAAAATAAGCATCTAAACGTATATAGCTTAATAATAATTTTAAGTGTCTAACTGCTATGAGTAAAGGCCATGAACATGAACAAGTTCATGACATTTTCAACTTTATGCCGGACATTCCAGGACATGTATCAAAAATATCAATAAAAATGCTGTAAAAAGACAAATCCGTGCGGGTCAGGACGACAGACACCAGAGGAACTGTGCCTGACAAACCCTAAACAATGTCTATGACAGATACCTATTTCTAGGTTTGCATAGAAAGTATTAGTGGTCCCCTCCATTTTGATTGTAATGACAAAGGATTTGGTTCCAAATACATTATCATTCTTACTACAAAGCACCACACTGTTTTGTAAATTGTTATTGCCAATTACATATTGTGTAGAATTTGATAAGGTCTGGGAACTTTATACCTAGAGCTATTAGTTTATAAATCAGACATCTGAAGGTCAGATCAACTTTATACTGACAGTCTGTCTTGATATCAATCATATTTAGTATCTAACCACTGGCGAATTGATATTTAAATACATACACTGATCACATATTGATTACTGTTTTTATCCCTTTTTGACCAGATGATTCTACCTAATTCAGTTTACATTGTTAATGAAAAATGTTTTTGACATTAAGATCAAACGTGAGGTTTTACGAATATTTGTT